ATATGTGTGAATTAGAAAGATACACATGTAAATTTGAAGAATTATACTATATATTAAATTAAGGAGATTATCAAGAAAATAAGCCTGTATTAAAGTTTTATTTTACAAAATTACCATTCCCATGGGGAATTAAGTTATTAAAAGAATATGAGAAATTATTACCTCCAGGAGAAGAGGGAGGAGTAAAAATAGATAGTCTTGGGAGTAGGATTGAATTTACAAAAAGAATGATAAGCATAAGGTGCAGAGAAGCTCTAGAGACTAGGAAAGCATATAAAATAAGAAAGAATTCCTTGTGTTGTTACAAAAATATAAGAAATATAAAAGAAAATTCAAAAACTACAAAAAATTTAAGAAAAAAATTTTAATCCACACAAAAAATATTTTAAGAAAAGAAATTGGAATAAAAAATTCAAACCAAGAAATATTAAAAAATGTAGATGTTTCATCTGTAATAAAAAATGACACATTGCCCCTCAATGTCCTAAAAAGAAGGATAGACAAAATATAAAAACTCCTAGAATTTATGAAAAATTTCAAGAAGATAGTGATATAGAACCAATTGAATATTTTGAAGATTTAAGTAGTGAATGCAGTAGCATTTATGAATTAGACACATCCTCATCAGAAGAAGATTATGAGGATATAGTATATATGAATCAAGAGATACAACAAGCAGATCCAGAAATAGAAGTAGAAACAACTGAAGAAGTTGAAAACTCAATAGAAGGTATAAATCAAGAAATTACCTTTGATATTAAAAAATACAAAGGAATAACCAAGAAAATAATAGGCTTACAAGAAAAAGATATATTCCATCAAGGATTCTTAGGAATACTACCAAGAGTAAATAAAACAATTGTAAGTATGAATTATAAAGAAATGTCTATCAATATATAAAATACTATAGGAAAAACAAGAATTCCTATAATTACAAAAGAAAGGGTAAAACAAAAGTTATCCAAAATTCCGGAAAATATAAGAAACAAGTTGAAATGCATTGAAATAGGAGGAGTCCAGATAATGGTAAAAGGATCCTTTAGAGAAGGTATGAACATACCAATAGAAATATAATGTATGGACAACAGAATCTTACAAGATCCTATAGATGCCCTATTAGGAACAGTTGTAGGAGACTTAGTCTATCAAAAGATAATATTTACAGTAAAACCAAATTATGCAATATTACTAATTAATGATAATATTGACCAAAGTTTCAATCTATATTATAGAATTGGAAACTTGAAAATGTTACGACAAAGTAAGGCTATTAGTATAAGCATAAAATCAATTTTCACTTTTAGTACTAGCCATCATAACAATCTAAGTAAAATAACTGATAATATTATCATATATAAAGATTTTGAGGAATTAGCACAATATATACGTCCTAGGAAATATCAAGACATGAAGTCACTATACCAGAATAGATAATGCTTGATTTCCACAAACAAGCTAGAGAAATTAATTTTGAAGGAAAATTGATAAGAAGAAATAGTGTCTGCCTAGAAGGAGATAATCTCATTGCAAAATTCCCCTCCAAACAAGACTCTAAAATAAGCAAACTCAAGAAATTAAGTATTGCTGAACCATCAAATTTGAAATATTATATCAAAACAAGATATGTAAATCAAGAAGGATATAAGAAGAATCTTCTTGTCCTCATAGATACTGGAGCAGATAAAAGTCATGTAAATGCTAAATTTGTTAGTCATTTAATAGATTTTGAATTACCAGAACCATATATATTCAAAGATTATTTGGGAAATAATCTTGAAATAAGAAAATATATAAAGTTCCCTCTCATACTTATGGGAGAGGATCACAAAGAATATACTAAAAAAATAATTCTATATAAAGATGAATTATATGGTGTTGATCGTTCACCTGTACTGCTAGGAATGAACTTTCTTGAGAAACATAGTCCTTATAAAATTTGTCAATGATATTTAAAAATAACAGTTGATGATAATCCAATCATCATAGCAAGAATAAATGAAAATATGAAATCATTGTTATTATGGAAAGAGTAGTTAGTACTAATCCCATGAGTTCATATATTAAAATTATACTCAATATAAAAGAATATTGCAGGATTAAATTTCATGCTTAACTAGATACAGGAAGTACAATAAGTTTATACTTACCAAATGTACTACCATCTGAATACTGAAAATATAATTCAAAGAAAATCGTCATCGCTACAACAGCAGGTAGAAATAAGGTAATATACAGCAAATATGCTACGCAAGTACCTTTTCTAATTTCCTTTAGAGAAATATTTGTTGATACAATATATATGTTAACCACAATTGGATGTGATATTTTATTAGGACAAAATTTTCTATTAAAATATGCACCATTTACACAATATATTAACAAGTATATGTTCACAACTCTTTGTGCACACAAAATATTTACACAAAAAATAAATGAGGCTGTTACCATTGCATATAAAGACATAAACCATCAGAGTTCCTCAACTCAGCGTGGTGGATGTTGGAGTACAGAAAAATTTAAACCAGTAATAGTCCTAAAAATGACAACAGAAAATAGGTTAGAAAAATTGAAAAAAGAAATTTCTGAAATATACTTTGAAAATCTATTAGAAAAATGGAATACAGACAAAGTAAAGGCAAAAATAGAATTAATCAATCCAAACACTATAGTAAGAGTCAAACCCATGAAATATAGTGTAGATGACCAAAACGAGTTTAAAGACCAGATAAAAGAACTGCTAGAAGCCAAACTGATTAGGCATAGTAAAAGCCCACATAGCAACCCAACCTTTATGGTTAGAAAACATAGCGAGATAAAAAGAGAAAAAGCTATGATGGTGATAAATTATAAAAAGTTAAATGAAATTATCAAATTTGATGGATATTACTTGCCAAATAAGGACACCCTTATTAAGCAAGTACTGAATAAAAAGATATTCTCAAAATTTGATTGTAAGTCAGGTTTTTGGCAAATCATGCTTACAGAAGAAAGTAAACCATTAACTGCATTTAGTATCCTCAATCCTTGAGGACAATACGAATGGAATGTAATGTCATTTGGGTTGAAAAAAGCACCACAGATATTTCAAAAGAGAATTGATGAGGTAATTAAACCAATTACTCATTTTTGTATTACATATGTAGATGATTTACTTATTCATTCAAATAACATTGAAGAACATATTGAACATCTAGAGAAATTTTGTTATATTACGAAAAAACATGGTATTACACTTTCTCAAAAGAAAGCTGAGATAGCTAAAACATAAATAGAATTTTTAGGATTATTTATAAAAGAAGGAGAATTACAATTGCAATCTCATATTGGAGAAAAATTTCAAGAATTTCTTGAAAACATTAAAAATAAAAAATAATTACAAAGCTTCTTTGGTATATTGAATTATGCTGAAGGATTCATTGAAAATTGTGCCAAACTAAAAAATTATTTTCTTCCAAAATTAAGAAAAAATATAATATGGTCTTGGGAAAAACAAGATTGTGAAAATATAAGGAAGGTAAAAGAAGAATTAAAAGTATTGCCCAAACTTATAATTCCACAAGAAGAAGATTTCTTTATCCTTGAAACTGATGCTTCAAATAATTACTGGGGAGCAGTATGAAAGGTTAAAAAGAATTATAAAGAATATAAATGTGAAAAGAATTGTTCTTGTCCTGAGATGGTTGCAGGTTATACATCAGGAACATTCAAAAAAGTTGAAACGAGATATGAGACGAACAAAAAAGAACTCATTGCTGTAAAAAGGGGAGTTCAAAAATATGAAGATTATTTATTACCAAAAAAGTTCTTGATTAGAACTGATAATACTTAAGTTAAAGCTTTTTTGAAAAATAATGTTGATTCATCTATTGCCAATAGATATATTATCAGGATACAAATTTAGTTTTCATACTTCAAATTTGATATTGAATACATAAAAGGTAAGACTAACTTTCTTCCTAATTATCTTAGCAGGGATGGAGTTAGAGCAACTAAAGACGAAAGTCCAAATACTTGAAATAAAAGTTTCCTATTTGGGAACACAAATTCAAAATATCTAAGATAGCCTTCAAGGTAAAAATATAGCCCTTGAGGTAGAAGTAACTTGTACCAAGTCTGGTATCCCTTCACAGGGACCAGTAAATACTAGCGCTCTCTCCGATGATAAAGAAAAAGAGAATAAGGTAGTAGGAACCCCTTCATAGAGAATACTTGAGCCTATTACTGGTAATGAAGATATTCAAAATATCAAAAGTAAAGGTAGCTCTTCACAGAGCCAAACTGAGTCTAAACTTTCTATTGAAAGAATAGATCCAAAATATATTGTCAAAATATGTCATGTGGCAAAAATTTTCAGAAAAGATAATCATGAAAAAGTCATATTCTTTATTGTTATTTTTAATATTTTATCAGATTGGTATCTGGAAATAGGAAGGTGGATGAAAACTCTCCACTATGCAAAATACAACAAGATAAATTTCTATCCAGGAGTACCAGCCAACTGGGTATGAAACTGTTATGAGATAGGGAATATACTCTGTATATATCCCATCAAAGATCTCAAAGAAATAGCGTAACTTCCCGCCAACGTCAGAAAAGCTGTTAAAAGATATACTGAAATAGTCAAGACAACAAACATATACATCAGATTCCATTCAGCAACTATGGAATGGGATCCCGTTCTTGAATATATGCATCCATTGTTCCATGTTATCAAAATGGGACTTCCAAACCAACATTTTTTACCAACCAATCAAAATATTGTTAAAAATGGATACCAAGATATCATAAATATGATGCCCTACAGAAGAGTAAAAGGGTACAAAGAAATATTTGAACATGTAACTCAGATAATTACTGAGAAGGAAAAAATATGGTTTTATCCATCTAAAGACCATATAATCTACTCCGATGTAAGGATGGTTACAAAGGAAAAAGACATTTGTTATCTTGACCATTTATTATCCTCAATTATTTCAAACAAAGTACATGGATCAGAAGATATGGCGAAAGAACTGTGCAAACTATTCTGGAACTACAGTGATCACCATTGTGAATACTGCGTAATAGAAGATACGAGTCAAGCATCTCTCAATAATGACGAATTCCCTGCAGAATTCTTTGATTCAAAGATGGAAAAGTGATAGTGACAAAAGTGGCCATTTATCACTACTTTAATAAAGAAATTTATTAAAGAAAAACTGTGGCTACTAAAAGACAGAAGATAGTGCAAGAAAGTCTCCATAATTGTGACCACTCATCCATTGGTTGTCATAAGTGGAAGACAAAATCAAAGATAAAGAGATAATTTCAAAAAGAGAAGACCACCTAATAAGAAAATAATGGAAGAATCGGTAGAGATAAGATTGCTGAGCTACCCAACAAAAGAAAAGGAGAGACACCTGTCAAGATAAGATTCTTAAAACCCTCTATAAAAGGGGAAGGGAGGGACTCAAAAGAGGCATCTCGAAACAACTTATCTCGAAAAAACTCTCTGAATTATCACATCTCAAAGATATATCTTTTGTAATCTGTATACACCACTTGTATTCAGAAATATTAGATAGTGAAGATAGCAAAGCTTGTAATAAGGTAATCACTTATGAAGTTCTAAACTTCATAAGGTGAGTACCAAAGGTATGTAAATATAGATTGTAAGCATGTACTATTTCAGTTTATGAATATTAAAATAAAGTTTGTTATGTTCAACAAAACTTTCATAAAAGGATTTCGTTAAGTTTCTTATGATTCCTCGCAGTACAAATAGAGATTTTAAAAGATTTTCAAAACATTGATTTTAAATGGATGTCAGCCATGCCAGAGTACCTGTCTTTGATGAATGGTTTAGGGGAAAAATACAGTTTTCTAACAAAATCGTAGCACCTTGTGTGTGAGTTATCTCTCAAAATTTCATTCCAAGTAAGGACTTGATTTTGAAAAGAGTCTAAATAGTGGTGAAAACAGAGACTCTGGATACTGTGAAATAGCGTCTGTGGAAACACGGCTAGTTCTCTAGAATGAGAAATGCAACCTTAATTGAAAAGCTTTTTGCAGAAGCAGTTGTGGACCCAAATGATTCCAAAAGACATTTTAAACTTTTACTTGATTCAGAAGATTGATTAAGTACATGCAAAGCATCTATAAGAGCATACTGAAGGGAAAACCTGTTTACTTCTATTCGATTACTATAAGTTATTCACTAGCTTTCACATACATATGCTTTGATTAATTGATGAACACTTCACAAGCATCCATATCTACTTCTAATGATAATCCCATATTATATTTAAATGAGAAAGATATTTCGTTTTTACTTAAATTAGCTGAAAAGTCTAAAAACATATTTTCTGTTGGCCAAGAAAAACTTGAAGAAATATATAGAGATATAGATTATTATTGTAAGCATAATATAAGAATTGATTCTTTAAGAACTAGTAGAGAAATAAGAAAGGTAGAAGATATTATAACTAAATATAAAGATATACAAGAAGAAGTTTCAGAAGGAATAATTCTAGAATACATAACTAAGAAAGATCGACCTAGAATCTTTGAAGAATTATCAAGATACAAAGAATATTTAGAGATGTTTAAAAGATTAAACAATATAAACATAAGTCCAGATTAATAAATCCCCAAAAGGAAGAATTGTAAGATATAATCCTTAAAGACCTAATAATTAATAGATACATGATAGATCTTGCAGATAATAAAAGTAAGGGTAAAATAGTATTTCCAATAGTAAACGCTATTTTGGAAAATAGAACTAATATTCCAGCCATTCAGAAGAATAGCCCTATTTAAGTGGCCACTAACTCCATTTTGCAAAGGAAGCCCTCCAACTTTCATATAAACTTCATTAAACCCTTATCGTTCATTAATAGAAAAGTAAATCCTTATCTTTAAAATTTATCTATCTTAGGCCCTCAAAATATTTTCAATTTATAAATAAACCTCAATAAAATAATTTTGTTAATTCAAGTCCCAATAAAATCATTTATTTCATTTAAGCCCCGATATGATTTTGATTTTGAAAATTCAACTTTTGACTTTTGACTAAATAATATGGGTTGTAACATCCTATCACTATCAAAAGTATAAAAGAGATTATTCTGGTAAGTTAGTTCCCACTCTTTCAGGATCCAGAATAATTCAGCTGCGGTTTAATACGACGTTCCATTCTCTGTACAGACATTTTCACTGTTGGAACAGATAATTCTGCAACAACAGTAGAATTCGCTATGACAGAAATGATGAGACACCCTATCGTGTTGGCAAAAGCACAAGATGAACCGAGGCAAGTTCTTAGAGTAAATGACAGAATACGGGAAACTGACTTAGTGGGACTGAGCTATTTGAAGATGATGATCAAAGAAACTCTAAGGCTCCATCCGCCTCTTCCTCTGGCACTTCCTAGAGTGTGCACTTAGCAGAGAGAAATTGATTGATATAATATACCCATCAATATCGAAGTAATTTTGAATGTCTTTGCAATTAATAGGGATCCTGAATATTAGAAGGATGTTGAGAGTTTTAAACCAAAGAGATTTGCAGACGGGTATATTGAATTCAAAGGGCAAATTTTGAATATCTCTTTTTTGTGGGGAGAAAGAAGGATATGCCCAGGCATATCATTCGGTTTAGCCGATGTTGAGTTTCTTCTTGCTCAACTACTTTACCACTTCGATTGGAAACTTCCCAATGAGATGAAGCTTGAAGATGTAGACATGACTGAGATACTTGGATGGTTGTTTGGAGGAAAGAGAAGTTGTATCTGGTTCCTACTCCTCGTAACCCAATCAATTAGTCAATGTCAAAAGTCCAATCACATACTCTACTCGAATAATGATATTCATAGTTAGCAACTATAATAGTCATTCTACATGACAACTTATTATTTCATGCATTCATTTCTTCAAATTCTGTTGTTTCAAATAACAAAAGTAACCGATTATCAATTTAAAATATGTTTTGTAACTGAAGTTTTACTAAATTAGATAATGTAATCTAATTAAGTACAATTGAGAAAATTATGATATTAGATAGTTAGAATTTTCGATTTCACTTAGGTTATTTAACGTTCATATAATTCAAATACATTCGCCCATTTTCATACGAGCCAAAAATCGAATAAACTTGTTGTAGCTAGTGATCTCTATCAAATAACACTAATCCTATTCATATGCCCAAATTTATTATGTAAATTCTTTACATAAACTCGCAGAAATTTTATATACATTGCATAGTTTATAATTATTTCTCGATTTCTTATAATAACTATGTTATTTATTGCACGAACTAGAATCATACATCATCCCTCAATCTCAATACTATCACTAAATCAATCAATTGGTGATCAAAGAATTGATGCATTAAACACACAATAATTAACTAACACATAATCAAGTTGTATGAAATTTTTAGAATTAAATAAAGGGATAATTGCAGAAGAAATCCCAAACCCTTGAAACACTAGCAAACTTTTCTTATACCTTTTAAACGTTGCAGTTGTCACTCCAAACATTTTCACTCGTTGCATCACAAGCCTTTTTGGATTGTTTCCATTCATATTTCTGTTATTTGACCAAAAATGTGAGTTTGACCATTTTTTTATAATTCCATAAAGGGTAAAATAGTAACATTCTATTTACTACATTAAATAATTAAAGTAAATAAATTTAAAAACACACATAAAGAAATATATATTTATCTTCTTCACCCAAAACCCCACACCCTACCCCCACCACACCTCACACCACCCAACCCAAATTAAACCACCCCAAACCAAAACCAATATCACCTAGTCACCGCGACCATTGACAACACCTTAAAATGTCGCACACATACTTCTTCCACTTCTCAACCACCTCGTAAAACACATTCTTATTCCTCAACTCCAACTCTAACCCCAAAACCCAAATTAAAACCATGTTCTTGGCTTGGATTCTTTGATTGGGACATTAATTATTATTTCAATTGAAGATAAATCTATTTTAGTATAATGCTGTTGAAGGTTTGAATATGGCCAATGGGTTTTCAATGTTTTTTTTTTTTTTTTTTTTTTTTTTTTTTTAATAATGTTTCAACATGAATTGTATCGCCTAGATGAGGCTTAACGATTGATAATAGTGGGCTACCATGGGTATTGTCAAAATTATTAGAAAAATGGTGCAGTTCTTGATACTTTGTCGACAATTGCAGATGTGAAGGACATGATAGATTTAGGTAGAAGAAGGTTCAACTTTTCCATTTCTATTTTTTTATTGTTTTGCTATTTAATTATTTTAATTCTTCAATTTGATAAATATGGAAGTGCCATTTTACCCTCATTGACATTGATTAAAATGTGGCTAAATTAATTTTTTGGGTCAACTGATGATAGACTGGATGGAAACCGTCCAAAAGAGCATATGATGCAACAATTGAAAAGGTGCGGGATGATGACTGCGACGTTTGAAAGATTTGAAGAAAGTCTACTAATGTTTCAAAAGTTTGATGTTCTTTTTGCAAGTACCTTTAAATAAATATTAAACCCAAGCTACATCATTCATCTTAACAATCTTAATTGCAAAACTAAATAACAAAATAATGAAAAACATTATCAAGTTCATTACAATAAAGGAAAAACAAAATTCAAGCAATTGTTTTTTTTTTTTTTTGGACACCCAATTCTCAACAATGGACTTTAAACTCTTCTTGGATGATTGTAAATATGTCGGTCAATTGTGTTCAACATTCAAATCTTAAACTATGATACAAATATTGAGTATTTGAATATGTAATTATGCCTAAAGATTATGTTTGTAGCCTCCCTCAACTTTTCAATGCAAGATTTCTATTTATAGACCTAAATTAGGTCTAAAACAGAGTTCCAGAAGAATAGGGAACCATAATTTTAGTCAATTTAGAATTATTCAAAATGCTGAAGTTTCTACTTTGACTTTACAATTTGGTCCATATATCTTCTTTCTTGTTCAGATTAAGTCTTTAAATATTACAATTGAGGCCCTTCAACTTTCAAACATGACTCCTTGGTACATAACTTCCAAATAATGTTCAATTTTACTCTCTCTCTCTCTCTCTCTCTCTCTCTCTCTCTCTCTCTCTCTTCAATTATTGCTCATTTTTATTCATTCTCGTTCAATTTCAAATTTTCTTTTAAAATAATAAGAAAACATAAAGTTAAATAACTAGTTCATAAAAGTAATCCCAAAACTCATGTTTTGATGACCAAGATAAATGTAATAATTACACTTATTAGTGAGTTCGGCTTTCCAAATTTAAAGAGTAAATTTTTTTTCTATTTTAGATCATTTCCAAGAGGGTCTTTAAAAGTAAAATAGTTTCAATTTAAAGAGTCAACTCTTAAAATTATACTTCAATATAGATAATGGGTTTGACTCTCCAAATGTATTATCTATAATTAAATGTATTAAAAAATTCCAATTTTTAATGCTTCATATATTGATCAAATTAAATAGTATGTACAAAGAAATGGAAGGAAATATAATAATTTGGAGGGAAGTTGATGCAAATAAAAGATAAGAAAAATAATATATACATTTGGGAGTAATAAAATTAAATGTTAAAGATAAAGAAATTATTGGAAGTATTTGAAAATAGTTTTTCTCTAAATTTATAAGTACTTTCTAAATTGCAAAATATGCTTTTTCAAAATATAGTCTTTTGAAATACTCTTGACAAGCCAGAATACAGATTCTCTTGGAGCTTATTTTTAATTATTGAATTCCTAAACAATGAACTTATTTTTATGCTTAAGCCTCGTCTATGCTTGCAAATCTTGAAGTACGACATTCATGCCGAATCATTCTTTACACTTTCTAGAACACTGATTCTAGTAGTTACAACCTTAACATGATAATGAATTCATATGTTCAAGAGAAAATGTATTAGTTAAGTTCTAGGAATCTATGTTCATTTAAGATTGACTTTTTTGATTTACTAGACGCATTAAGAAATATATGCTGACTAAATCAACTACTGAACCAATTTATGAAAAACAAGAAAAAATATTCGTCGACTAATTAAATTAAGGCGCCCCCGAAGATATTCCATTTTTCTTCAACTAAGATTATGAAATGCCACGGATAATTCCGATATATGGTGTGTATTGTGAAATTGAATCAATCTATTTGCTTGCAGTTTGGTAAATATGATTAAATTGATTATGGCGCCTTCTGATTTCGTTTGTTATCAGCAAAGGACAAGCTTTTTGACTACCATAAAGAGGGAAATCTTCTATAATATCCCGGTTACATAGAAGAATATAATACCTGAGAAGCTTTATATTACTGAAATGAAGGTTTCAAATCATGTATACATGGGAATCTCTACTACAGGAAAAGTCCAACAACTAAGAAACACAAACATGGACTTCATTTTGAAAACTGAATGCTGGCTATAAATGCTATATCTATAAGGAAGAAATGATAGTTGAGTGAGCGCACTTTGTCTTGAATAACTAAAGTTGCACTTAGGATGGGAAGTGATTGACGTTCGATTATGTTGTGCCCAGTGATTCCACGATGAAAAGAAGTAAGAAGTTTACAAGAGAAAATTTCACACCCTATTATTTATTTATTTATTTATTTTTCATTATGATTGTAATAACGGATCTCTATTTAAAAGACAAATTAGAGTAAAATCAAAATTTACAAGGAAGCAAATTCCTAAACTATCCTTAATGAAATTTTGGTCTGAGGCTCCCTCCCTTGCACCCCTCGGTCCTATCTCCCTTCCAACCACGACGACAATCTTATTGCAGAAATAGATCTACGTATTGATTTCATAGAGTAACAATAATTAGGCTCCAAGACTTAACAATACCACCATGCAAAAACCAGATGGCCATGTCATCATAAACGAAGAAGATGGTAAACACGTTTGTGTCTTCACTTATCGTGATGGCAAACATGTGGGCCATCATATGCCCTACAACTAACAGCTCACGTAGCATTCGTTGATGTACAATCTCGCAATATACTTTGACATGAATTTCAAGTTAAGAAATTTAGTTGAAATATATATTTTTGTGTGGTTGGATCATCTTAAATTCCAAAGCCCCAAAATCTGTATTTTCTTTTTCTCCAATGGTCCCAATCCCGATCATAATGGAATGAGATTATTATTCACAATTTAAGTGCCATTTTTTGTTAGATTTTATGCCAAAAATGCAGTTCTAGGGACTTTCTAATTTTGGTATGAATTTTCATACGAATTTTCACCATTTTTTCATGCCTTTTTTTGTCATCTTTTCCGTAACTTCCACATGGAGGTTGCAAAGAGTTATTTGGGAGTAGTAGGTTTGAATTCCAATTTCAAATCACCCTTTCCAACCTTTTAAAATCTTGCAGGTCGGGTTATCCCACATGGGCGATCCATTACCTGTATTTTCCAATATCTTCCACTCGCACATGATGAGGTTGATCTAATTCACAAGTGATAACGAATGACACACCTTAGATCCTTCTCAAAATTTATCTCATAAAGATTCATATGGGAAATAGATCGTACAACCAACGAGTAATATTAGAGTTCATGGTACTATAAATTTGTTAGGGATATATAGTAGCTCTGTTAGAGGAACATCACATCTCATTATACCTCAAACTCATTTTTTAACATTAATTCAAATATTTTCGATTCCTCGAGTATTTATGGAACATACTTGAACCCCATATCGTATCATTGTATTCACAATTGTGTTCTATACCCTAAATGGTTAAACACAATTGTCTGGCCGATGAATACAAACATAAATGTTGGTCAAAATAATTTTCTTTTCCTACTTGAATCCTTCAATTTTAAATCAACTACTTTCTTAGACATGCCCCGTCAAATTGAATCAATTATAGTTATTGGCAACATGCTAAAATAGCAATACTAAAATAAAATCTCAAGAAACAGTTAAAAGTCATAAGTGTATATATGAGGTTATATAAACTTCAGGGTTTCACACAATGAAGAAGCAGGGATCCATTCACTCATTTACCCAATATTGATCGTAAAAGCACACATGGTATTAAACACGTGTTACGATATTTTCTCCCTTTTTTGGAAGGTATGTCATATTCTTTGTAAATAAATAATATCGTACAGATCTTAGTTCAGACATTTATTGATACCTAACTTGAGTTTTCCTTATATTCATTCCTCCAGACAATATCAAATTGAGAACTCGATCTGACTACTAAACATGTTTAATGGATAGCAAAATTCATTTCGATTACTTGTTGTAATCTCATCTTATAAAGGTGACTGAATCTCAAGACGTTTGACATACATTATATGTGCATACAAATCATTTATCTCATAATCCCAACATTATATTACACATGAACTCAAATTGATCATTTATGGGCAACAAAACTCAATCAAGAGTTTTCTGATACACTAAGTATCATATCCTACAAAATTCTAGAGATTCAATATTACCAATAAATATATCTCGAGATATTTTTAGAGTATGATGATTACATATCATCATTTACGTAGATATATCGCAAAGACAATTTCTTTACTAAGATAGTTGCGAAACTATCATGGATCTCATATTCTAAACCAGTGTCATTAGATGCTAATACATCTAAACTAAACAATTTCTTTAGCTGCCAAGATATATATTACAATATATGCTTCTTGCTACTCTATATAGCAAGAGTGCACAAGTCTAATAATAATTGTGTTCGACTTATTCTCATTTTTAGTCGACCATTGTATATCTATTCCAATCACAAGTTATTATTTTTGACAACGGTATAGAATAATTGGCAGCAGCACCCTTCAAGTATCACAATATATTTTTTAAAGATAATATTGATAGCCACTAACTAGATCCATGGCATGGCCAATGTTATGACAAGTATACATCATAGTATATTATCTCATAACTCTTAATCATACTAGATATAGTCCTCAAGATATTTCTTTGTGCCTTTATGAGTCTTTGGACATTTATGAAGACTCATATCATTGCCTTCCGATATAGAAATATCAATAGGGTAGTAATTCCACATGAATTTTCATAGTATAAAACTCTTATGATAGAGCAATAAGACTCGAATAATCTTTTTAACACAAATCATACAATTTGCTAAACCCCTGTCCTTTGTCTCTAAGATTGAGGACAATAATTTCAAAATGATCTCTATACACGTCTTTTCATCCTTAACCAATCCAATGTAATAACATCAAAATTAGAATTACAATCTAATATCAGATCTTTCCACAAATACAATAATTTTCATCCATATGACGAAAGGTTTTGTATGAGATTTAACACTGTTAAAAATTTAAGTATAACTGTCAAGATAACTGTATTAGGCCATGAGTGTAACTATAAAGTTACCACAATACTAAAAAAGACCTTTAACATGAAATTTACAAGACGGTTCATGTTGATTTCTTCAATCATTTCTTAATTGAGAATAAAAATTCAACCTTTAGGTCTATTTGGTATAACTCTAAATTAAAACATACTATCATGGCTAGGATCGATGTACAGAAGCGATTCCCATTGTAATGAATTTTTTTTCGTCTAAGTCAACAAACTCATATTGAGTATAACATTTTTCAAAGAGATAGCTTTATCTATCTAAAACTCATTAGTTTCCACTTAGTTTTCAAGAACTTGAATGTTCTCAAAAAGCATAATATCCAAATAGAACTTCCACCATATCCCAGATTAGGTTGAGATTCTATATTCTGTATATTTACTTCCATATCTTTGCTCAAAATTCTCCACTGATCTTCTGAACCAAGAATCATTGACATTAAATAGCTTTTAACTCTCACTTGGAACCAAGAATCATTGAAATTAAATAGCCATTAACTCCCACTCGGAACCAAGAATAATTGAAATTAAATAGTTCTTAGATGTCTCCCACTCAGATAGATAGGTCTAACTTGAAAACAAATTACTCCACTTGAGTTAGAAGTTTGAATCAACTCTTATATATAAAAAATTGATTCATCAATACATATAATTTCAATTTTAACGATGTTCTCCAATCTTTTCTCCTTTATTGGAAAAAATGTCAAATGTTATATTTTGTGATTCGATATCCATCCGAAATTTCACTTATGCGTCTTTTTGGACTACATGTAGGTCATCGAGATACATTTCGTTCTTAATTGACTCATATTCCCAAACTCATTATTGAGAACATATATAGTCCATTATGAGTCTATGACAACCCATATTTGGTTATCCATGTGTCCAATACTTATATATTTTCTAAAGGAATCAACATTGAGAGAACTCCATTAATAGATACGTTGTAGTTAGCCAACATTATTTCCAAAAGCAAATAACAATTTGGGCTGTATATCTCAAAATCATCATGTTCAGTAATATTCCATTAGTTCAATCAAATATACCATATAATTATTGGTGATTAAGGAATAATCTATCAAATAAGAATCTCTTTCATTACATAGATAATTGATATCATGTGATAGAGATTTACGCCATCATATAATTCTCAAAGTCTTCACTTCCACAATCTAATTTTCTACTTGACTTCAGAAAAGTCTAAACTAATATAATATCTTCAACTTAAAAAAATCAGATGCATACCTGAAATGCGTGAATCCATCTATAAATGTAATAAAAAGTGAAGTTTCATCTCTATCTCACTTAATCACAACTGATAAAAAAATTTGGATTGATTTATTCTATGGAAGTTTAGCTCTTACATTTTTGATTGGTTTTCTCAACTCAAAACCTCAATCTATTACACAAATATCTAAAAAAATAATAAACATCACCACTGTGAGCACAAACAGATCTGCCACGTATAAGTTCAAGTAAGATACTACTCTTCGAAAAACAATAACTGAGATCAAATTTAGTGGAGTTTTGGATACTATCTTAATATTAAATAGGAGGTCAATTTCTCCACTTTGAAACATTAAGTTGCAGTACCAGTCATATAAACCTCCACTCCATCTTCATTATTTGTAATATATCTACTTTGTATCAAGTCAAAGACTCCAAAATAGAATAATATACCTTTTGATCTCATATAAAATGGTTTCTAACCCTTGAATCTATTATCCACACAAGATAAGATCCAATTGTTGACACGTAAACAACACTAAGAGGTATATATTCAAGTGCAATATTCACTTTTAAGCCAAGAGATTCAAATCGCATAATTGAAGCACTTGAACCTTTATAACATTGATTCTCTACCAAAACCACTTTCATTCACTTACTATCTGATACATTCTTCTTGGTCCCATTTTTTCAGTCTCCTCATCTATCCCGTATTTGTTCTAGCCCATTTAATATTTAAGATTCAAAATCTTATGCAATTTAAAACATTGCTACACAAGCATGTCCTCCACATCAAGTCGCACATCTTCTAACTCACACAGCGGATAGTGTCAATATAGAAAATTGACACTTCAATTTGTAAGTCACAGTAACCATAAAATTCTCTATATTGAGAAGAGGCTAGTTTGAATTTACGCCTCAGCTAAAAATAATGTGACCAACGAAAATGTTAACACTATATTAATCATCAACTAAGTTACATTTGAGAAAAAGATCATTTATAACAGAACTTAACAATTCAAATGTTCAAACACTGGAATCTATATTTTTTCGTACTTAACAAAGTTCTGATCTTTATTCTCTAGAATAGCATGATCTACATAAGGTTGAATGGTTGATGCTCTCTAAAGCATCATGTCCCTCTAGTACTCAAAATTCTATCATGCCAAATGTTATCACATTTAGCTCATCACCTTTATTAAGGTTAACCCTTATAGATTTTGACACCATGATCTATTAGTTTTTTTGTGACATTTTATTCTTAACCAATGCCCATTTATGCACGTATTTAATTTTGTATTAACTCAAATTAACGTCTAGATAGTTCAACGTTAGGCCTAGAGTCGAAAGTTCACTATGTTCTCAATCATTGTCCACAATCCTATTGTTTCACTATAATAAACTTAATTTCATAATACAAAATTTCATGGGTTCTATGTGAGAATTACATTAACTCTTCCAACTTGAGAACTCCCACTCAATTGGAGAATCAAATAGTTCTAAGATAGATTTTCTCTAAATCTTCTAATTACTGAATTATCACTCAACTGACAATCAATAGGTCAAAGTAAAAAATCTCACTAATTCTATAGATTTTAGCATTTATAACAGTACACGAATTAACGGATATCATGTATTCAATTAAATAATTTCATAATATACAATAAAAGCATAACTATATACATTTATCCAATCATGACACATATAATGATATAACAAATTAATTCTTCCATAAAATAACTTCAAATATAATCCAAAAATAAAACTAACATCGTTTTAGTTTTATTTTACACATTCTCAATCTCATTTAAATTTTTGTCGCAACACAGTCCTAATAAACGGGAAGTGACATCAGAAGTCTCATATTTTGCTTGTCATCAAAAGCTTATATTCCAAAATATTAACGTATTTCACAATAAGTCATGCTCTAGATCCATTTATTTATATTGATAAGCACGAAACATTTCAACAAGTTCCATTCCTTCTAAGGATGTTAAAAATATGCATAGATCTAACCATATCGGAGCAAGCACAAAAAATTGAAAATAATTCACAATGGATCACATAACCTAATGAAGACCCACATAACTCATGAACGTATATAAAATGTGGTATTTTAAATACCTTCAGACTATTTTTTATTTAGAAATGAAACACTTCACAAAAAAGAAAAAGAAAAAAAAACTCCCATTAGGTAAATACTACTTAACAAATATTCTTGATTTTTATAAAAATTTTCAGAATTTAATCGAGTCAAAAAAATATTTTTGTTTAAGAATATTTGAGGGACTAAATTGTAATTTTCTAAATTTCATTTGAAAAAAGTCAAAAGGCAATTTTATTTGACATTCCAACTTTTAAACCTTTTTTTATATAAAAAAGAGGGCACTGAATGCCCACTACACATTCATCCGTGGCACTTATTCAATGAAAAAAGTTTCGTTGATTCGTCCATTTATCCATTTTAACGTTCAGAGTTCATCTGTATAGTCAGATTTTACAATATCAACTTTTAAAACTGTGTTCTGGACCCAAACGGATCCGACCAAAAATAAAAAATGAAAAGAAAAAAATGTGTTTTTCATCTTCAAAAAAAAAAAGAACAAAATTTCTAAATTTTTATCAATACTTCGAGAGGCCATAACTTTTTCATTCTAAAGCCGAAATTAATGTTCTTTATATCATTAAAAAAGTCTCGAGAAGATCTATCCAACCATA